GAGGGCAGTGTCACTGGCCCTCATGTGTGGAATCTGAACCGGGGCCCACTGGCGTCCCAAGCCAGCTCCTAACCACCGCGCCACTTGGCCAGCCCGAAAGTTTGACTCCTAATAGGATCAGGTTATATCCCAATTGTTGGCAGAGGCGTTTTCAAATTACCTGTATGGTATTTGGTTTAGATTTTACATGGAAAGGACCTTAAACTGTTTTTTTTTTTGTTGTTGTTGTTGTTTTTGTCTGAAAATAGGCCACCAAGGCACATATAAAACTCAACACTAAGAAGCTTTATCAAGCAGATGGGTATGCAGTGAAAGAACTATTGAAGATCACCTCTGTCCTTTATAATGCTATGAAGACCAAAGGGATGGAGGGCTCTAAAATAGGAGAGGATGATATCAGCAAGTTCAAGTTTGACCTTGGCTCAAAGGTAAGGACAATGCAAGGCTTTGTGAGGGACAGAATGTGTATTTCTCAAACTCTGAAATGGAGCAGGTCATATACTCACCACTTCTTTCCTTACTCCTTGATTGAGGGCAGTTTGGTAGCTTTGTGCTCATCAGCAATTGGATAAAAGCAGAAGTCACAATAAATTAATTCAACTCTTTACTGAAGGCCTGGTGTTTGCCAGGCACTGTTCACATGCTGGGGACACAGACAGGCATGAACATCAGGGACAGAAACCTTCTGTTCTCTGGCTCAATCAGGGAGTCAGACTAAACCGCAAAGCAGAAGGAATGGCAGGCCAGATGTGGTAAATGTGTGGAGAATATTAAAGCACAGTGAGGTATCTTTTTTTTTTTTTTAAAGATTTTATTGGGGAATTGGGGGAGGGGAACAGCGTTGGAGAATCAGGGAAGGGGAACAGACAGGTAGACAAATTGCTGTTTTGTTCTTCAGTCTTTTGTGGAGGATGTCGCTTCACTGGCCCATGTTGGTATTATCATTGCGCTCTTCCCGGGTGAGGCAATTGGTCACCGGTCATTGGTCGGCCGCTCACAGTGGCTCATGGCAGCTCTCGCCTGCTGCCGGCCACTTACGCTGGCTGCCAGCCACTCACGTAGCTCTCAGTAGCCCACTGCAGCCCTGCTGCAGCCTACGCAGTCGCCGGCGACTCACAGCAGCCCAGCTCCAGGTTGAGCTGTTGTTGTTCATCAGCTTAGCTGTAGAGGGCGCAGCATCACTGGCCCTCAATGTGGGATCCGAACCGCGGCCCTGCTGCTCAGAGCTGGCGCTCCCAAGCAAGCTCTTAACCAGCTGAGCCACTCAGCCGGCCCACAGTGAGGTATCTTAAATGGGGAGATAGGATGTCCTCAGGGATTGCATGACCTGAAGGAGGGAAGGAGTAGTCTTGCAGTGGAGGGGGAAAATGTCCTCTGGTAAAAGTGTGCTTTGCGTGTTTGAGGAAATGCAAGGGGGCCATGTGACGAGAGCAAGGAGGGGAGGCAGTGACAGACCCCATGGTGCCTGGAAAGCCACTGTAAAAACTTTTCTCTGAGGTAGAAAATCATAGAGTTTAGAGCAGAGAAGTATGTGATTTAAAACTTTATATTGAAAGGATCACTCTTCTGGGTGGAGATCAGACTGAAGAGTGAGGCAAAGGAGACACCTGGTAGAAAGCCAGAGATGATGGTAACTTGGAGCAGAGTGGTTATGCCAGTGGATGTCAAGAGTTCAGCTGAGGGGCCGGCCGGGTGGTGCGTTGGTTAAGAGCTCTGAGCAGCAGGGCCCGGGTTTGGATCCCACATGGGGGCCAGTGACGCTGCCCTCTACAGCTAAGATAGTGAACAGTGGCTCGACCTGGAGCTGGGCTGCCGTGAGTTGCCGACGGCGTAGGCTGCAGCCCCTGCTGCAGTGGGCTGCCATGAGCTACCGTGAGTGGCTGGCAGCCAGCGTGAGTGTGAGTGGCTGGCAGCCGGTGTGAGTGGCTGGCAGCCGGTGTGAGCTGCAAAGAGCCGCAGTGCAGAGTCCGGCGACCGATCTGCCTCACCTGGGAAGAGTGCAATGATAATACCAACAAGGGCCAGTGAAGTGACGTCCTCCACAACTAGACTGAAGAACAAAAGGACAGCAACTTTCTGTTCCCCTTCCCCGATTCCCCAACACTGTTCCCCTCCCCCAATTCCCCAATAAAATCTTTT